CGCGCAGGATCCCCCCCCTCCCCACGAGCCTCCGCCCCCGCCGTCCTCCCCCTCCCCGGCGCGGGTGGGAGCCGCTGACTCATCTGCCACCATCATCATCCCCCCCCTCCCCGAGGAAGGCGATCCGAGGGGCTGCATTGCAGACCCAGCCGCGCCCGCAGACAAAAGCGACGCTACCGAACACCAGCGGCTGCCTCGGGACACAAAGAGCCCGCCTGGCACCGAGAGCATCCCTCCGACCCGACCCCGCGCCCAGCGCCCCCCCCCGCCCCGACCCGGCACCGAGCGCCCCCCTCATCCCTCCGACCCGGTACCGAGAGCATCCCTCATCCCCCTGACCCGGTACCGAGAGCATCCCCCCGACCCGACCTCGGCGCAGGTGAGGGATGCGGGCAGGGAGGACTGGAAAGCCAGAGGATGCTTTTGGGGAAAGGGAGGAATTTGGGTGGAGGGAGTGTGTGTGTGTGTTGGGAGTGTTGTTTTCTCGGGGGAAATAAGTGAGAGCCGGCGGGGATTTAAGGGGATAAAAGGTGGTTTTGCTTCCACCTTGAGCAGACCCCGCTGATCCCGTGGGAAATGCTCTTTCTTAGGGGACACACACGACACAGGAGGGATTTTTTTACCCACATTCATTCCCTTTTACTGGATATTTGAATATTTTACTTGTCACTTAACTCCCTTTCCCCCCTCCCCTTGTCACTAAACTCCCCTTTTTTCCCCTTTGAAGTCTTAAAATCCATGTCCACAACACCCATCACCATTAAAATAATTCGCTGCCGTTGTGCAGCAAGAAACCCGGGGATGGATCCCCAGGGATAAATCCCCCCCAGGGAGGAGACTCTTTTGAAGCACCGTGGCTCGGTTTGCCCTGAAGGGGTGACACGGGAGCCTTTCACTGCCTCAGAGTGACATCGGGAACCTCAAATGTAGCAGCTGCTCATCAGCACAGACAGGGCACGGTCCAAGGTCTGCCTGAGTCATCCTTTGGAATTCCGCTTTCCAAGGCTTAAAACAGGGGGATCAGCGAGAAAAAAAAAAAAAAAAAAGAGGATGTTTTGGGTTATTCTGATTTTTCCCCACCTCCGATGGAGGTGAGCGACATAATCCTGCCGGGAAAAAAGCCGGGCAGTGACTCAGCTGATCCGCGTCTCCTCCTGCTCTTTCCCAGCTCTCGGTGGCTCGGGGCGGGGCTGGCGGGGGGAATTCGGCAGCACGGCGTGGCAGGGATGGGTGGGGTGTGCTGGGAACACCGAGCTCTGCTGCTTCCAGCCCTTTCCAGAGGGTTCTGTCACGGCCCCCTGGGCGATGCGATGGAGGGGGGGACCTGCAGGGACCCTCCCTCCCATTGCCCGGCACGGGGAAAGGGAGAGACCCTTGTGTGCTGTCTCATGGAAAACCAGTTCGTTTGGATGCTGTTTTCCCTCCCTCCCAGCAGAGCGGGATGTGGGGGGCACCCTAGGGTAGATTTCAGGAGGAGCAGGTCCCCACCCTGCCCTTCCCTCCCGGGCTTTGTTTGGATGGGGAAACTGAGGCACAGGGTGACAAACCCCTTGACCCCTCCCCTCCAAATCACAGCACAGAGCAGGGCTGTGACCAAGGCCGTGGGTGAGGGCTCAGATCTGCAGTTAGACCCAGCCTGGAGTCAAAAACCTCCCCAACCCCACACCGTCCTCCGCCACCAGTTCAATTTTGGGAGGGGGGTGTCTCGTGGGATTGAGTCAACACGGGCAACACCTGAGATTTTTCAGCCACTTTGAGGCAACTGCTGCGTGTCTGTCGAGCTTTTCTCCCCCTCTCCTCTCGCCCTGTCCCCCCTGCAGAGCCCCAGGATGCTGGACACCATGAGCAGCCAGTACGACTCCTTCATCTACTGGAGGATGCCGATCCCCCGGCTGGACGTGGCGGAGCTGGAGGGGTTGGGGCTCGCAGACATGGCCCTCTACAAGCCCAAGGCAGGGCTGGGCCAGCTCGTGGGCCAGCGGGAGCGACTCAGCCAGGACCTGTCCCCGGAGGAGGAGGAGGACACCCTGCTGCAGTTCAACACCTTCAACTTCTGGCGGGCTCCCATCGCCAGCATCAGCTCCTTGGATTTCGATCTCATCTGAAGCCCTTCCTGCCCCTCCTCGCCCCTCCCTGCTCTCCCCCTCTCTGCCAGGGTTTGGTTTTCTTGTCGCTTCGGGGGTCGTTGGGTTGGTTTTTTGTTCGTTTCTGGGCGGTTTTGCCATCGCTAATTAACTCAGCAGTTCCCCCTGGGCTTGACGGTGATGGGCTCCCTGAGAAACCTTCAGCCTCTCCCCGCTCCTCCCCTCTCCCTCCCTCCTTGGCAAGGAGAGGGTAACAACACCGGGGGCAAATACGAGGGCAGGGGGCAGAAAGAGCCCCCCTTGCTGCCCCTCTCCGTGTTTGGGAGGTGCTGGGGGGGTGTTGGTGTGACCGTGGGTGTCCCTGCCCCGTGTGACACGTTTTCACCTCATTTCTCGTCTGCTTTTATAAGAAACTCATTTGTGCAATCGGAGCGGTGGGAATTGACCCTCCTCTGCCTTCCCCTGACCCAGTTTCTCCCAGATCCGCCTCATTCCTTCCCCTTCCCCTCAGGAATTCAAGGTGGAAGAGGCAGGGATGTGAGAAAAATAATCACTTTGAGTCTTGGGGCTTGAGTCCAAGCAGAAAAAAATGATGTCCAGGAGGGTAAATACACGTAGAAATGCTCTGACCTTGCTGGGTGGGGTCAAGGCTGGGTGTTCACTGCCCCAAATTTGATTTTTTTCATCTTTTTATGCCTCGTGGGCTTTATTCCCGGTGTGACTCCTGGCTGGGACACACACCAGGGACATCATGGAGTCTGTGACGGGGGCTGAGCTGAAACAGAAGATGGAGAATTCAGTTTGATCTTACCCCCAAATGGAAATATTTCAGGTTTCCTACCCAATTAATCAACCACTTTAAAAATAACCAAAAAAAAAATGCTGCATTTGCTCAAGTGGAAGCCTTGAGTTTTCTTCGGGGAGATCTTCACCTGCTGAGGTTTATTTCTGAGCATCACCTCAAAATGGGGGGAGAAAAACCCAATTTAAACAGTTATTTCCTCCCCCACCCCCAAGATTGTTTTTTCTGGGATTGGTTTGTCTTCTTGAATGTGCTTTTTTTGGGTTTGATTGGGGTGAAGTGATGTGGAGCATCCCAAAATTGTCCTGAGAGCTGGAGGGGAATGTGGCTGGGGGCAGGCCGAGGCAGCACTTCGAAAGTGCCACAAATAGGCAAAAGTTGGAAAAAATCTGCATTCTACTGTGAAAATGGAATGCAGCTCTCCTGTAATCTCCAGAAATAACCAAGTGTGCTGATTTTGAACCATCTGTGTAAAACCAGAGGTGAAAAATGTAAATTCTCCTCTGCAGAGCTGTTTGACTTCTGTGTTCCCAGCTGGGAAAACTTGCAGGAGAAGTATTTATTACGAAACCTTAAATAAAATCAGTTTAAACCTACACATTCCTGTAGTGATGTAGGCTGACATCAAGTTCTATGGATTTAAGTTGCTTTAAATCTTTTTACGGTGAGCTGAGAACTGACCCCTGTGTCTGCTGTGGAAGACTTAAGTGTGGAAAAACTAAGCTTAAAGGATTAATCTAAGCGCATTAAGGATATTATTTACACTTCAGCTTTTACAAGCCCCACAGGAAAACACCCCAGGGAAGAAGAAGGCCCCAGACTTCCGAATTTACCTCAAAAAAGGGCATTTTGAGTGGGTCAGGGGCACCTGAGGGGGTTACACAGTGAGGAGAGGGGGGTCCGGCACCCTGAGGGGGGCTCAATCTTAGATACTCAGAGGGGACTGATACACGCAAACTACTGAAATACACACATATACATATCTAAATATACATATGCATTTATAGACACTGACCCATCGAGGGGCTCAGGGCTCTGTAAAGCATCAAACCCCCCTCATCGCCTCAGGGAGGCGCCGCCGCCATTTTATATTTGGCGCCAAAAGACCACTGAGGGAACTACGGCAGGGTCACACCCTCTGCTCATTGATATCCTTCCGCTAGAGAAAAATACTCCCCTCCAGGGCTCCCCCGTCGCCCGACGGGAGCGGGGGGAAGGTGATGGAGAAAAGAAGGAGAAATCCCAAAATGCCGCACAATTCCCTCGGAGACAGAGCGCGGGGAGGGCCAGGCCACCCTTCCTCCGTCGGCGCGGCGCGGACTCTTTTACTGTCGGCCGTTATCCTTCCGCCGCCACAGCCTCCTGGTGTGGGGGCCGCCATTTTGTGAGGCCGCGGCGAAAGGGGCGGGAAACGGGGGCAAGGGGGGGGGGGGGGGGTTCGATAGCCGCGGGGCCGGGGGCGGCCTGAGGGCTGTTGGGGGGGAGCCCTCCGTGAGGGAGGTCAGAGAACCCTCTGTAAGGGGTGGTCTTGAGGGTCTGAGAAGCGGGGACCCCCATGAGGGAAGGGGATGGGGGGACCATCTGGGAGGGGTGATCTTGGGCATCTGAGGATGGGGAATCCCTGTGAGGGGATTCAGGGGACCCCCCTCCCGTGAAGGAAGGGTTTGGGGGACCTTCAAAGGGGGACGATTTTGGGGGTCTGAGGAGGGGGCAGCCCCATGAGGGAAGGGGTTGGGAACCCTCTCAGGGGGTTGATCTGGGGGATCTGAGGAGGGGGCACCCCCATGAGGGTGCCCTCTGAGGGGGTGGTCTGGGGGAGTCTGAGGATGGAGGGACCCCATGAGGGGAGTCGGGGGACCCCCCTCATGAGGGAAGGGGCTGAGGGACCATCTCTGGGGGATGGTCTTGGAGGTTTTTCGGAAGCCGAAGAAGGGCAGCTTTAGATTAGATAGTGGGGAGAAATTATTTGCTGTGTGGGTGAGGAGTCCCTGGCACAGGTTGCCCAGAGAACTGTGGATTCTCCATCCCTGGAAGTGTCCAAGGCCAGGTTGGACAGGGCTTGGAGCAACTTGGGATGGTGGAAGGTGTCCCTGCCCATGGCAAGGGGTGGAATGAGATGATTTTTAAGGTCCCTTCCAACTGAAACCATTCCATGCTTCCAAGATTTTTCAAAGATGCTAAATACCAGGGAAAGAGTGGCATATGTATCCCTGATCCCTGATCACTTTTTCCCAGGAAACGGTGCAGAACCAGGTGAAGACTCATCCAGAGAGAACACACCCCATCACCAACACCGTGGCTCTCACCTTGCCCTTCGTTCTCACCACTCTCATTCTTCAGCAGGCACCAAACCCACCTCAGGTAAGGTTTTATGGTGCCTTGAGGGGGAAAATCTTGGGGAAAAAAAAAATCTCCTAGGGTCTCCCACCAGTAGAGGGCAGGTGGATATTTAGTAAAGAGAAAGGGCTGAAATGCAGCCAAACACACCCAGCAGCTGCTTCCTGCCCCGGGATGTTTTTTACCACGGGAGGTAACAAAGGAGGTTCCTAGGACTGGTGTAAACAGAGGTGGTTCCAGTGCGAGGGGCTGCTCACTTTACTGCAGGTTTTTGAGTGAGGGTTTTGCTGTTTACAGCCTGTTTAGACCTTCTCCTGGTGGGAGTTCAGCCCTTTAGTTGGAATAATTTTTCCTTTTCCCATCCCTTTGGTGTGGAAATCCATCCCGTTCCCTCTCTGCCTTTGTTTCGCTTTGCTCCCCCTGTCCCGTGGATCCCTCTCGAGTCCTGTGGGTCCCTCTTAAGTCCCTTGGATCCACAAATCCCTTGGATCCATCCAGGCTCTGTGGCTGAACGGGATCTCCTTGCAAAACCCCCACCTCTCCTTTCCATAATCCCCTTTTCCAGTGCCACCAACACGCCACCCCCCACGTGGGACTGGCCTAAAATACCCCGGGATTTTCCCTCTAAGACACTTCCAGCGTCAGGCAGAGCTTGGAAACAGCCCGTGCTGGGCCTTGTCAGGAGCTGAATTTCTCATTTCCCACGAGGGGGCATCAGCGACCACTTTAATCTCAACAAAACCCTCCCATTTGACACTCCCAGATAACGATTTTTCCCTTCTCTCTCTCCTGTTTTCGAGTAGGAACGAGGATCTTTAGCTGGGCTGAAGGTTGGGAGGTGCTGAAGTCTCTCAAGCCTGTGGTGTTTTCACCTGCCAGACCAAAATAAACCTGGTAAAATCAGGTGAAAAAGAGAGAAAACAGGTTGCAAGGGTTAAATCAGGAGAACTTTAGGTGAACTTCCCCTTGTGTGCTCGTAATCTCTTCATCTGCGCTGGCCCCGAGGAACAGGATCTCTTTTTTTTTTTCCCCTTTTTAAAGAGGAATCGTGGGTTCTCTGCACCCATTTAGGTAATTTCCTGTTCCATTCTCCCCGAGTCTGCATTGAATAGGAGTTAACTGTGGTCAATTGGAGGAAGAAACATTGTTTTTTGGGGGCCTGAGAGGGCTTGTTTATGTCCTTTCAATCCCTCTCCCACTGGTTTTCCCGGTGCTGAACCCCAGAGGGGAGCAACAAAGGCCCGAGAGATCTGAAATCCAGTGACACAAGTGGCCAAATCGTGCAGCAAAGGGGCAAGAAATGGAAAAATATTCTTTAGTTTTCACAATTTTGAGAGCAGACCCGTCCACACCCCTCAGTCAGACCCAGCACATCCGTGACCACCAGGAACAGCTTCGTGTGGGCTTCAGGTTTAATTTAAATTCAGTTAAAAATGTCAGAGTGGGTTCAGCCTGTCCTAAAATAATATCAGAGCCCTTTCTGCAGTGACTTTTTGGAGAGGGACCTCTGATAAAAAACTGTCTGTGCCCCTTCCCTTTCTCCACTGGAACCTGGAAAATACTTCATAGCTGGTTTTTTTTTTATCTCTAGGTGGTAAAATTGTTGCAATACTGTTAGGAATTTAAGAGGTGGAAGCCAGTTTGCCTTATTTTGGACTGAGAAATAGGTGATGATAACACTTGGGTGAATTTGGATTGTTTATTTATTTACTTAATCCCAGCGGAAACAAAATAAAATGAAAATAAAATAAAATAAATAAAATAAAATAAAATAAAATAAAATCCCAAAGGAAATAAATGGATTTTTGTTAACCACCAGGTTTGACACCAAGGTTTGTTGCCCTCGATGTGCTTTAACAACCACTTTAAAAATAAATAAGGGACGTGGAAACTTTTAACACACAAACCTGGACAAATCGTTTGAAATAAAATTATCTCCGATGTTTTCGAGCCTCTGGTAACTTTTTTTCTTAGAGGAAACTTCGTGTTGTTTGCCTGCTTTTTGCCTTTTTAAATCATCTTTTCTGCCGTGCCTGACCTTTAATTAACTCCAAATTTGTGAGTTTGACAAAAGTGGAAGTTTATCCGATCCCTTCGCTTCTCAGTTCCGTTCTTTTCCCCGAAGCCAAGCACTTTTTTTTTTTCCCCTGCAGTCTCAGAGAGGAGTCATTTAAATTCTTGAGGCTGCTGGTGCCACACCACTGATTCCTTGACCTGTGCTGCTCCAGTGTTTTCCTGTCTGGCACCAGATCCCGGTTTCCTGTGCTGGGAGCAGGATGCAGCCAAGGGGAAGGGCCATGGAAGGAAGCTTTGCAGAGCCAGGGCTGCTCAGCAGCTGCCTCCCGCTCCAGGGGGGTTCCTTTGTGCAGGAATCCACACCCAACAAACTCCTGAAGGTTGGAAAAGACCTCCAGGATCACCCAGCCGACCTTCAAATGGACTCGATGCTCCTTGGGGGGTGTCCTGAACCTTCAGACCTTG